GACCCTCCTTCCCAGGCCAGGACCCTGCCCCGGTGCCGCCCCTGTGCTGTCACTGCCACCCACGCCCCCAGCTCTCAAGTGGACACGATCGTTTGCCTTGTTCACACACCAGCCCCTTGGTCAGCCAGAGACCCCTCCGCAGAGCGGCCGAGACAGAACCACCCGGGCCGCGGCTCCTTCCTGGCACAGTGCGGAGGGGCCTGGGGTGGCGTCCCCCCTGCATCATTAAGCCCCTTCCCAGCTCTCCCTCTGCATCTCACATGTCCAAGCTTCCATGGGGGCACGTGTGGCTGGGGACACGTGTGGCTGGGGGCAGGCCAGAGCGGCTGGGCCGCCCCCCTCCCCCCGCCCCCGGGAAGCCCAGCACACCCACCCCATGCCCCAGTGCCCGGGAATTGGCAGCGACCACCCCCACCCGAGGGCTCAGCCTTTCAGGCACTGGCTGTGCTGGGCCTCTTCACATGCCCTGTCCCCTGGGGCCTCAGCCCCCTGCACGGAGGCGGCTGTCCTAGAGCGAGAAACAGGCTCAGAGCTGGGCAGTGACCTGCCGAGGTCACTCAGCAAGTCCGCAGTCGGGACTCGGACCCACAGCTTGGGCTCTTCCCCACGTCCCGTCCCGCCTCGTCCAGTGGCCTACAGCCCGACATCTGGGCAGAGGGGAGCTGGGATCCCCAGACACGGGCCTCCCCTCCCGTACATGGAGCTCTGCCTGGGTGCCTGGCCTGGTGAGGCCCTGGCGGAGGTGGGGACAGGGAATGCCCAGGGTGTGACCTGCGGGGAGGGGCGGCCACCGCCCTGAGTCCAGGCCCTGAGCCTGGCAGCACCGAGGGGGAGATGGAGGCTCCAAGAGGAAGGGGCCACGTCCGGGGGACCCAGGACCTCCTGAGCTGGGCCGGTGAACCGAGCCGGCCACCCCTGCCCGGGAACAGGGTCTCAGAGTGCCTGGCTGGGCAGGGCCCGCGGGTGGGGTGGAGGCCACGGGAGTAATAAGGGACGTGACTGCAGCCGCCCTCACATCACCCATCCCAGGTATGAAGCAAAACCATCCCGCTTTACAGACGAGGAAGGACTCAGGGAAGGTGGGCACGGCCAAGGGCTGGGGAGGAGGAGCCAGGCTCTGCCGTCAACCCCACACCCTCACTAGGCTGCCTCCACCTTCAGACCCGGCCGAAGCCCCTGGGGGCATCGTGGGCTGGGGCAGCTGGAGGGGGCGCCCCCGGCCTCTGCAGGCAGCTCACAGGCGGCGGGAGGCAGGGCTCTGAATCCTGTGCTGCTGCTCCAAGCAGCCCCGAGCCATCACACCCCAGCCAGACCAGAGGAGGGCCCAAGGAGACAGCACAGCCTGGGTCCTTGGGGGGAGGGGAGCAGGGCCCCAGGGCCCACAGCCAGGTTTAGGGCTGGGTGTTGGCCGGTGGCACCCCTGGGGCCACCTCAGGACCAGCATCGTCTCAGGGTAGCCCAAGCCCCCTGCGCTGGGCCAACCGCCAGGCCCACCCACACTGGGGTATCGAGAGGAACAGAGGACAGGAACCCCTTCAGGCCAGGTCCCTCGACTGCAGGTGGGACCTGGGGAACCTCATCCTCTGCGGCAAGCAGGGTGGGTGGGGCCCAGGCCCCGCTGGGGTTCCTGCCCTGTCCTGGCACCGGCAGCCTGGGTGCCTGGGCGGGCGGGGTTCCTTCTCCCTGGGAGCTGTGCCAGCTGATCGCTGATCTCAAATGACCTCCAGCATCGCTCCCCCCACCCCCCCACCCCCCGTCCCTTGCCCTTTACGTGATCAATCACCTTGATTACAACATGGAGGCGCAGCCAGGTGAGGACGCTGTCACGGCTGCAACTGCAGGCAGCCCGGTTCCTGCAGGCGGCCGGGGCGCTAAGCGGCAGTCAGCCTGCCCGTAACGCCCACAGCCTCTGCAGCTTCATGCAGAGCGATGTCTGAGGAAGCCAATGTCACCAGGCCAATTGGTACAAACGAGTTTCGTTCCTAACACCTCATTGACGCTGACATGACATCTCCCTAACCAGATGACCTGGTGAGGGCTGCACGGAGCTCCCACCTTTCCCGGTGCGAGCGACACAGGAGCGAGGGGCCGGGAAGGGCAGTGGCAGCTCAGGCCACAGGCGGAGACCGGGGCACGAGGCCGCTGGGAAAGCTCCCAGGCCCTGGCTCAGGGCTGAGCTCCCGGCTGCGGCCAGAACATAAAACCAAGTGCAGCCCCTGTGGCTCCACATTCCGGGCTGCGGGGACTTCATGCTGAAGGAGCAGAGGGGGGACCTGCACCCCATCAGCCCCAGCCCAGCCGCCATCCCTCCTCTGTCTCCTCCTCTCCCCTCGGGCACACGAGAGCCGAGCTGCCCCACCCCGGGGACCACTTACCTTCCGGCTGAGACTCAGAGCTGCCCAGGGGCGCGGGCTTTGCAAACCTACCCCACGGGCCCCTGTTTCCTGACTCGCATCCCAGCCTCAGAGCGCTCCCCTGCTTCTGGAAGGGGGAGCGGAGACCAGCTCGGCCCTTGCCTTGCCTTCAGCAACTCGGAACTCAGCTCCCAGGGGCAGCTGGGATTCCACGCCCCACGCCCCACGCCCCACGCGCTGCACTGCGCCTGCCTGCACGTCCGGCTGTCTTACAGGGCCCAGACGGCCCCCTG